GGCGTCCTCTAGTTCTAAGTGGCCATGTTCGGCTGTGCCACAAACTCAGAGAGAAAGCTACCACGCAGCCCTCGCCACTGCTCAATGTGTGTGGCCAGAATGGGATTTTTTTTAAAGATCTTAAAATACTGATAATTGTTCCAAAAATTTTCAGAAACACTATTTCAGCCAATAGTAGATGTGATCAAACCCAACTATGTAAGGGCTGAACCCAGCCTCCAGCTTTCAACCTTTGTGTTAAACATTTCGAGGTACTAGATTGTTTCCTAAAAAATAATAAAGTAAGAGGTAAAGGTTCATGACCAGCTTCAGGAGAAGCACAGAAATTATATATAACTGATCCCCAAATAACAATAATCACTCTGGAGATCGAGCATTTAAAAAAAGCAATGAGAAAACCCAGCACTTCTGTATATTCCAAAGCAATTATTCCAGTTACTCATTTTAAAGACTTCTTTGTTGAAGTTACCGGAGAAAGAACTTTGACTCAGTGCAGGGCTCACTAATCACTGGAACCATACTTCACCAGGTGTACTGGCTTTTTCTTTCCATGAGGTAACTCTCACTGAATTTAAAAAAAGAAGCTGAGTTTTAGGGAAAGATTAAAAGGCTCCATCAACACCACAATTTCCTCCTTAGAGGGCCTGAAGTCCATGGAGTCTGCAGAACAGGAGGGCTGCAGTCCTAACCCCAGCATCTGGTATTAGTTTCTGGAAAGGACACAAACCAGCAAGGCAAGCAAATATGTCTTCCTACCTTGTACAGCTGTACATCGTAGCATTTAAAGAGCTGGCACACATCGGGCAATGTCATAAGCATGACTGTGTCTTGCTGCAGAGATTTCCAGAAGGAAGTGAGCAAGTCCTCCACCTGATGAGGGAACAGAACATACCTCCCCAAATTCATTTTGTGCCTGGTGAGACTGATCCCCCGTTACATACTTAATCAGCCCCAAATGATAATGGGATGAATTTCAGTCCAGTTAATGTATAGCTCAGCCTATCAGCTTTTCCAAGCTGTGTTTTAGAAGTGTTCTTTCCAGCAACCCATCAGTGAGCCACTAGCCAGTTGGATGGGATGATGTGGAATGGCATTTTCATGAAGTTTTCTGGAATGAAGGCTGTTTCTGACCACAAGGGGGCTCCTGTTGATTTGTAATAGGATGAGGATCTGGCCACAGGGCACAGACCACAGTTCAGAACAAATGTTCATTGACTGACTGACTCCCTCAATTATTTGTCAGCTCAGAAGGACGTGTAACAGTATGTAATCAAAGAGACCTCCTTGATAAGTTAGAATTCACCCAAGGACTATGTGAGCCAAAGGGCACCGGTATCATTCTCCATGGAGCCTTCTTTAAAGACTTCTGTAGATACCTTTTGTTGTGGAACAAAATGGCAGCTTCCTTATTTTTCTTTATGTTTGCCCATGTTGACTCTTCAGACCCTATTACCGAACCAGGTGGCCAATCTGAGATGCCAACTAATAAAGACCCTTGCCTTTTTAGGATTTTTGCAGGCTCAAATATTTTGCAGCGTTGAAATCCTGACACAAGGACCTGCTGATGATTCTAGGCAAAGAGCTATTCCTGTATACAGGCTGTCAAGGTAGTTACAGCCAACTCTCAAAGTACCTGATGATGAGCCTGTGATTTGAAATCCAGTTATCAGCGCATTAATTCTAGAGAAGACATCTCCAAAGAGGCTCATAGATATTGAACAAAAAATGCAATAGTGGGATGAATAGGATTATTTAATCTTTTTACTGTCAGATTGGTAACTTTGGAGCATGGCTTTTGGGGTTGGTGGGTCTGAATGAGGTAGCAACCATGGGCTCATCTCTGCTAACTCCCTCACCACCCTTGTCCAAAGTCATCCAATCCTGTTGCATCTGCTTCAGAAATATTTCTCCAATTTGCCCATCTTTCTCTCTGATGTCATTGTCACTGTTCCAGACTTGACCCCTCCCCTCACTTCTCACCTTGACTATGACAAAACCTCCTCATTGCCATCTACTCCAATATGGCAGTCTTGCACACTGCTCCCCCACCACCTTCTCAATCAATCAGAATTCTTCACAGGGCATGAGGCCCTTTCTAGGACCAGGCTACTTTCCCACATCCTCTCTGGTTCTCTCCTTCAGAGATATTTATATCTAGTCATAGTGACTCTTCTGTCATGTCATGCTTGAGAACATCTTGCTGCTCTTACCTACACCATTAGTTCTACCTGGAACTCCTTTCCTACTGCACTTTTGAGTGTATCTGAACCTCTGCTTTTCCACTGCAATCAATAGCATCATGGCTTCCCCTTGGGAGACTATCCAGCCATCTTTTTTACTCTTTCTCCCAGCACCCAGAACAATCTAATCAAGCTGCCATTCTAGAACTTGCCATATTGTATCATATTTATTGGCTTATATTGCTCCTTTTAGTACCAGATTGTAAGCTTCTTTTTTTTTTTTCGTGAGTAGTTGTGTTTATTTCAACAGCGGATTTGAAACCCTTGCCTTAGGCAAGAGACTACAGTAATTATACCAGGAATAGACAATTTCCTACACTGTCAAATATATAAAAGTTCTTCTTGCACTTTCCTCAACACTGATCAACAAGTAGATTCAGTCCACATTTGCTTTGATCATTCTACTGAGTTAACCCAAGCTTCTTCTTCAGAGACTCTGGCATTTCAGGTGGAGGAGGGCGAGGGAGCCTGAAGTAGATCTTCACAGAGTCATAGATGAACCACTGTAGTGCAGTCAGAGTGCCAATCATGATGATACAGGCAAAGATTCCCTTCCACACACCTTTAAATCCAAGTCTCTGAGGAACTTGAGAAGCACTGCTACCTTTCTCCTTATTCAACACAGATACCACGGAATCAGCAGGGTGAGAAACAATTGCACAGAAGACTCCAGCTATGTGACCTGCCACAAATGTTACAACCAGTTGCTCTGCCTTTGAACATTCACTTTGGGGCTTAGGAGCCACAAACTTGTAAAATTCTTCAATGATATGTTCAAAGCAGGCAAATTTCATCATGGTGTATGGTATCTGTCTCATCCAGAGAGGGGCAACTCCTTTGTAGAATGCTTTTAAGCCTTCTTCCTTATACATTTTGGGAGCTGCATCCCTCAAAGTGTTGGCATAACCTGGCTGGGTTTGAATTTGAACCTTAGCAGCTTCCATAGGAGCCAGGGCAATGTCAGCAAAGAATTCAGCACTGGCAGAAGCAGCCAAATATAGTGATGTGTGCCAGAGATAGGCATTCTCCTCCTCAAGCATGTTGCTATACAAGACTTTGAAAACTTCATAAAAGCCAAACTTGCAGAGCCCCTGCATAGAGTAGCCAATGAAAGTCGGAGCCCATCCTTTAGCCAAACCACGAACACCACCCTCTTCAAGTGTAACTGAGAATCCATTAAATATGCCCTTGTACTTTTGGGGTTCACCCGCATAGAGCATTTCCCTAAATCCAGAGGAAGGACAGCAGTGTGTGTCAGACCACAACTTAAGACCCCACCAAAGCCACACAGTGCATAAAACTTCATGGAGCCATATTCGCAGCTGTATTCTTCCACAGCAGCTGCTGCCAGATTGCAGGAGTGGGAACGGCAGGGCCGGCCCGGGGGACCTGTGGGGCTGCTGCGGGGGCCCGTGAGGCCATCGTGTACCAGCTGTAGGTGTGGCGTGTTGAAGGGGTTCGCCTGCACCAGATGCACCACAGACGAGAACATCTTCTTCCTAAGATGGCGAACACACAACCGCTCCCTCGAAAAGGCTGCAGCTCACAGAGGCCGAACGTCCTCCCAAACCCTTAGATCTGTGCCCTTCAGGCAGATTATAAGCTTCGTAAGCCTCATGGAGAATACCTTCCTAGTTCCAGAAATGGTACTAGTCACAGGGTAAAAATTAAGTTAATGTTTGATGAGCAAATGAAGGAAAGGAGTGTATTAGATATTCAAGGTGGATGGATATTGAGAAAATTGCATCAGTAGGACAGGGGTCATCCTGAAGACATTTTGGTCTCTCCTCCACTATAATGCTTTACACTGAATAAGTACTAAATGAACTCATGCTAAATGAATATTATCACCCAAAGCTGAAGTACTTAGAACCCTAGGCATCAGAAAAGCTTTCATTTAAATGTGTGCTTGTTTCCCTGGATTTTCTACTGCAAAAGATAAAATTCAGAATGGTTAAAAGATGTGTTTGTGTTTTCCACAGCCAATTCTAGAATAAAACCCAATCATTACAACACAGATGACCCTGCTTCAAAGTCTTGCTTCTTTTTCAGTTAGCACTTATCAATAAAGTGGCTCTTCAGCATGACTGAAAATTCTAAGGTGAATAATATTACCAATACTTTATTCAAAATCAACATGAATTAGATCTTTAAGAAATAGCTGAATTATACTTAAAGCATAAGGTTATATTAGCACCTTGGAAAATTTCCAAATGATTAAACTGAGTAAAAATATCACCTCAGATATCACCTCAATATCTATAAATAGCTGACTTCTAAGCACTACAGTGCAATGAATTACCACTCGACATCCCTTGAGGGGGTCTTTTCAAGTAAAATGATTAATAGTGAGTCATAAATACTTATATTTTATAGATAAAACCCTACCCTCTCAAGTTCTTGGTTCCTCACGTTTTGTAAAATATCTTGGCAATAGTTGTAGTATTCATCAGCAAGAAAGGCCATCTAGGAAGGATATGGAAAATTATTTCAGTTTCAAAGTCACTTCAAGAATGAACTGATCCTCAAAGACCTCTCTAAGCCCTTAGAGGCTGCTGCTTATGTTGCAATTCTGCTATGAGAGTAGCTGAGCTCTAACGGTGTTATTTATTTATGTGGAGCAATGGATACACATTATTGGCCTAACATGGACATAGCTTCAATTTTGAAGTCATAACTCCAGGGTCTGTACCACCCACTAAAGAGGCCACCAATCTCTGACATCTTTCTCCCTAAACCCCAATTTCCCCCTTCAGATTCCCCCGTCCCAGTTTCTAGAAAATCTGCCTATCTGTTCTCTGCTCTGTCATAGGGAAGCCCTCATTCTAGATGACAAAGTGGCTCCAGGTAGAGCCTTTCTATAGGATGTGAGGGGAAGATCTGAATTTCCTGACTGCCACCAAGCCCAGGAGGGTATGTTGGTGCTCACAGGTCTGGGAGAAGGCAAATACTACTCCATTGGGTTCAAATGATCACAGGCAAACTAAGAAGACATTTACTCCTCTGGGCATCAAAGGCATGAAAAGTTAGTTTCTCCCATGTATGCAAGCCTACCATTTTGTAGGAATACTTCTTTGCCAGTTCTTGCTCCCAGAATGGACATCTCCTGAATTCAGACAAAGGGGATCCAACTGGATCTGTCCTTATCGGTGAATGATTTTCACACTAGAAACCATTTACACATGGATTATCTCTTGAAAATAAAATGCATTTTCTTGCATATAAACCATGTAATAATCACATTGCTACTACAGGTTAATGTTCTATGTAACCTTTTATCCACACCTCTGGACATATTGATCCTAGCAACTTTTCCCCCTTATTTCATTCCAAATGATATTAACTTTCCCTTATATTCTATAAACTCTGGTCATCAGGAAGCAGTTAGAACTGAATAGATTACTCAAATGTGTCATTCTTGTGGTCGTGTATTACAAGTGCTGTATAGTAACGTGATAAAAATACTATCTATGAATAATTTAATACCACAAATACATTTATACAATCCTTGTCTGCATAACTGTCCCTCCGAAATAAAACCATATCCTGTCTAGGTCATGATGCCTGTATTATAAAAATGGTTAGTTATATCAGAAATCTCAGGGCCTAACTACCAAGGAAAATGAAGAGCACAGACTTCAGAAGGACACATTACAGAATGGTAAAACTGTTCCATCAAGGAGGAAAGAGGTAACATGGCAGAAAGTGAATTCAACATTCCTTCCTGCTGTCCCTTTTGAACAAGGGAAGGCAGGATCACTCCTGATTGATTGCAGGACCTTGATTTTATTTTAAATGATTTCTTCAAGATTTTCCGGAACGACGTTTGAATAATTTCCATTTCAATGGAGTCGGTTGAAATCATTCCTAGGAGTTGGAAATTGAACTTGTGAAGCCTGCCACATTGGATTGCAACACACATGAGGGTTTTCCTCTTCATTCCCTCTCCACCCCAATGGTTTGCTCTGCGACAGTACAGTTCCAAGATTAGTATTTCATCCTTAGATCTTAAATCCTCAGATCTTATATATTCAGAGCCTCACTGAGCTACTCACTTACATCTTGCTTAGTAGACTATGTGGGTTCGCAGTATGTTCCTGTCTACAAGCCACGGGGGGGCAGAGCGGCCTTCTGAACTGCCTGCACCCACCCTCGTGGATAGGAGTGGCACTCGGCTACCACCCCACGAGGCGCTGCACACAATCGAGAACAGGTACTGCCAGCTTCCTCCTTCTCTCATGCTCCCTTGTTATCAACTCATATCACAGCGAGGATCAGGAGAGCTTAGGGGTCATGGTCAACAGTCTTTTCAGTGTCCTAAAATCTGTACTGCTTAACCCTTTGTGGTCCTGAACCCCTTTGAGAATCTGATGAGAGCAATTGACCTGGAGAAATGCACACTATACACATAATATTGTGAAGTTGAAATTCCCCTTATCGGTATTTTTGGAATAAATAGAGGCATGGGTGTCTAAATAAATACATAAAGTAGTCACACAGAAAGGTGGCAGCTCAAAAGATGTCATTTCCTGTGGGTTCTGTTTGGTTCCTACTGGGTTTGCACTGGGTGCTATTCAACCCCCATTCCTCCCACTTTGGAACACTGGTTTCACTCAGAGCCACTGGATGGACAACCGTTGTAGTATGTGGGTGAAGGCCATCAAGAAGGATGGGGCTATTCTGTGGAGTTCACTGGCCTGGCCATCAATCTTCTATTAGAGAAGCACTAAGGAATCATCCAGTCCAATTCTGGCTAGCTTCTCTTCCCTACCACATCTTACCCTAACTACATCCATTTTCTCCATAGCACACCCTGACCTCCTGTATTCGTCAATGCTCCTGAGGCTGATGTTGCTATGATCAAAGCCAGTGTTTCTCAAGTGTGGTCCTGAAACCATCTACAACAGAATCTCCAGGAGTACTTGGGGTTCATATCCCTAGGGCCCTAGTAGATCAGAGGAGGGCAGAAATCTGTCATTTTGATCAGCCTCCCAAGTGAGCCTTACGCACGCTCAAGTTGAGAATCACAGTTCGAGGCAGACTGTTCTTTGTCTTGCTGCAGAAATCTCTACATTTCAACATGGCAAAAACATCACAGTTCTACCTGTTCAATGTCCTATGTACTATCGTAGTAATGTACTATTGTATATTACATACTATTGTAGTAATGTAAGAAATCATTGCAAGGAAAACGTGAAAGTAATCAATTACTAACAAAATAATAATAAAAAGGAAAGTTACATGTTCCTGGAGTTAATTCCTTCCAGGCTCTTCCTGTGAAAAGAACTGATCTTTCAGAAAAAAAAAAAAAAACTGTTTTAAAATCACAAATTGAAATCTTTTCTTTACAATATAAACAATCAGAAATCTAAAGTGAAAGTATGTTACAGAACCACTTAAGTTGGAATTTCTGCAGGAGAAGGCATTCGGGAAAGAATCAGAGGGATTCCCATTCTGGAGAAATAATTCAGCAAAATGACAAAGAAAAAAGTGAGAAATTCTATTTAGATTTTCCAGGTATATTAAATGCAGTTTGGGATTTTCAATAATTCTAAAAAATGTCATTGTAATCTTTAGTGAGCACATACTGTGTGTCACACCCTAGAAATACAATGGGGGATCCTTCCTGTCAATACCTGACCCTCGACGCATTATATGTCTCCCCTATCAATTCTCCTGGATGCCGTTGGTCCTTCCTGCATCCTTGAGGACACTGGTCCCTCAGTTATCACCCCCAAAGCAAATCTATCCTGTCATTCTCCTTCTAAAGATGCCTCAATGGTGGCCTACAGTCTCCACCAGTCTTCACTACAGGTGAAATGTAAATTCCTCGGCCTCGCATTGACAAGCTGTCTACCATCTGACCCTACCCAGAGCCTACTGTTCCCCCAAATCCTCACCTCTGCCTCCTCATTGCCCACATACCTCCCAGCATGAATGAAAACCACGCCAAGATGAATGCCTCCTAAAAGAAGATCCAAGTGACCCCTCCAGGATCAGCTCAAGGACATTGTGGCAGGCAGAATGATGGCCACCAAAGATGTCCACATCCTAATCCCTGGAACCTTAGATGATGAGAGGGACTTTGCACATGTGATTAAGATTAAGGAACTTGAGATGGGGAGATTATCTGGATCATCCAGGCAGCCCCAATGTAATCACAAGGGTTCTTAACAGTAGGGATCCCTTCCCTGCTGCAAAGAACCAGAGGGATGGCAGTGTGAGAAAGACTCAGCCTGTCTTTGCTGGCTTTGAAGACTGAGGAAGGGGCCATGAGCCAAGGAACATGGGCAGCCTCAAAAGCTGGAAAAGACAAGAAATGGATTCTCCCCTACATCCCCCAGAAAGACTGTAGCCAGCACTTAGATCTTTGCCTGGTGAGAACCATGTCAGACTGACTTCCAGAACTGTAAGAAAATAAGTTTGTGTTTTAAGCCACTAAATTTGTGCTAATTCACTACAGTAGCAATAGGAAATGAACACAGGCCACCTCTTCCATGAAGCCTTCCCTAATCACTCTGGCCCACTACAATTTTTCTCCTCCAATCCCACTTTGGACTTCTCAATCCACCTACAGCCTACCCAGCCCATTCCACAGCACACCAGTTATTTCATGTCTATCTTAGATTCCCAACCCTGAAACTGTATTCTATTCAAGTACAGAGAGTATGTTTTCGTTTGTTTTTACTTTTCTTTCACACCTCATTCAGTCCCCAAGAGTGCTGGTCACAAAAAAAGGTTTTCAAAAAGTTGTTCATTCAATGACACCATGTACTACCATGTCATCTTGGCCAACTTAAGTAAAATTCAATGCGTGATGTCATAGATTAGCTATTAATAGTTCTGGTGTCCTAATTCAAAGAACTATAACTGTAACATGGAGACACTTTCACACAAATTTATTGCTAACAACCTATGTCCTTCTTAATTATAGCAAAAGAAACACAAACAGCTGATGTACAGCAAACAGTATGCTTCTTGAGGACATCTGTCCCAGTGTGGCACACTGTGGATAATCAACAACCTTGGTCAAATGGGTGAGTGGTTAAGGACCACACATAATAAGAACATTAAACACAGGAAAACAGTTGCATCTGATCAAGCAATTACTGAATATTGCAGGGTCTATTATAGTAAATCTATTATATTCCATACTCACTGTTCCTTCTTGTTGGATAATGCTGTTATAATTAGTAGATTTTTCAAAGCCAATGATGTCTCCACTGTGATAGAACAGATAACAGAGAAATAATTTTAGTAAGCCACCTGTTTCTGAGCACAAGTATGAAGTGGTATTCTTCTTCTTCCTCTTCTTTTTTTTTGCAGCAAGTTTACTTATATGGGGTATAACTTTTTTTTCAAAACTCTCCTCCAAGTTCCTATACATGACAGGTGATTAGAACCTGCTTGGAGTTAAAAAAATTGATTTCTGTAACTGGGACAACCATGTATTTCTTTTGAGGGGTTTATTCCCCTTAGAAGTAAGGTTATGATGTTATCATGGGTAGAACTTGCTCCTGAGAGAAAAGAAAAATCTTCATGGAAATGAGGTCTTATACTTTCTGATTTGGGGCTTTTAAAATGATGAATTCAGAAATGATAATATCCTCTGATGTATGTAAATGTAACAGAGCACCTTCACGGAACAAGGAAATGGAGAATAATGAGATGTACATTGCATTTCACCATGCCTCGGATTCATACCTTATAATGAAGATATTTGTACATCATGGAGAACAGATTCAGTCCTCCCCATGTGGTGTGGGACATTTTCCCTTTAATTCTGGGTATTTGAGAAACTGGGAGCCCAGAGACGACCCTCTTTGCACAGGAAATGTTTATTCTCTGGATGCCAGAGGAGGAGGCATCTCCTTCCCAGTTCCCCCACCATCCTCAGAGCTGTAGCTGCTCTGTCCACTCCAAGTCAATACATATCCTTACACCTGATTGTTTCAACTTTACGTAAACATACAAAGAGAAGAGGAAAGCAGTAGACCAGTGCTCTGCTTCTGGAAACAAGGCAATGTTCTTCAAGGTAGGAGGCCTGGGAGGAGGTCAGGGTCCAGGGGCACAGGGGAGATGGAGATCAATGGCTTTCATCTCACACAGGGAGAGACTACAGCCCCTCCCATTCTCTCCAAATCCGCAGAAGCTCTCTGCTAAAGGTTTGTGTCTGTCCAGTCTCCAATCCAAGTTGTGGGAAACTGGGCAGAATACTTGATACCCATCTGATCAATATTTCCACATAATATTCTACTTCAAAACAGGGCAAATAGATTCAGGGTCTGAAACAAAACCACTAGAAAGCCACCCTCTTCATCTTCCATTAAGAGTTGTTATCACAATGGGAATTGTACTTTGGAGTGTTCAATGGCAAGAGGGTTTCAGAATGTGGGATCTGTTCAACCTGGAGGGGAGATAACCCTCCACATAGCATGATGGATTGATGCATGATGCAAAGAGAGCCACAGGTGAAGAATTTGAGATGTCTTGGAATTCCACTTGTCATATCCAATGATCTCTTGGGTAGGTATGGACAAAGATGGAGTTTCTCCAGGTAAAATCTGTAAGCAGCCCATTGCCACACAGGTTCTGGGACATTACCTCAAGACCAACAAACAATAAATAAAACACTGGATAAAACCTAGAATGAAAGAAGACAGAAGAGGGGCGCCTGGCTGGCTCAGTTAAGCATCTGCCTTCAGCTCAGGTCATGATCCCAGGGTCCTGGGATTGAGCCCTGCATCAGGCTCCCTGCTCAGTGGGGAGTCTGCTTCTCCCTCTCCTTCTGCCCCTTCCCCCTGCTTGTGCTTTCTGTCTCGCTCTCTCAAATAAAAAAAGAAAATCTTAAAAAAAAGAAAAAAGACAGAAGAAAATGTCAGAAATGAAAGTTCACTGAGTAAAGGGCTAATAGAAGAGGAATTTAAATAAAAATATATAGTCATCAGCCTTTAAGAGATGTCCTAAAAATCACTTGTGAGGCCTTTCCTCAACTAAATTGGAGGGAGAGCAATTTCTCTACAATTCCATATTGGGTTAATATGCTACCCTAATATATTTTCTTTGGAAAATGAATCCAAGACCATGGTATGAATATATTCGGCCCCATCCATCCATCCATCCATCCATCCATCCATCCATCCATCCCCCATTGCCTCATGAAATATTTACTGCATGCCTACTATGTCAGGCATTGCACTAGGCCTTGGAGGATATAACTGAGATTGTGGTGGACAGTCTGTTCTCATAGAGGTGACAGCCTATAGAGGAAAAAAGATGTTACATAAATAACTGCAAAGACATGGCATGGGAGTTAAGACAGTTGAAGTATAGGGTGTTAGGGGAATATATGTTGGGGGGCATGCTATTTCCTTGTTAGTTTGACAGTTTACATGCAGCTTAATAAACTCAGGAGGGTGTCACTTGTGATTAGCTAGTCCCTTTGGTTAGTACATATCACAACACTGTACTTGGACAGCACTTACTAAACTCTTTTGACGATGACAGCAATCTTCATGGGACATTCCTTTGGCAACTTAGAAACAGGAGTCTGGAAGCTAGAAGGTTTGGTTTCTGACTTAAAGGAACGACAAGGGAAACCCTCCGCCTTGTTGTTCAGTCCCTCTGCCCCAACCCTGATTCCAGTAGCTTTGGAAGCCAATCAGTTGAGAGTGATACTCTCAATTATTTAGGATTTATAAATGCAACTCCCAAGTTCCTGCCATGTGTTCAATGTGTAGTATATGAGTTTAATTCAACAGCCATTGAAAGGAGGGTGGTGTTACCCTCCTCACTGTTAAAAGGAGGCTGAAAGCGAACTCCCTGCCACATAGAGGCCTTTGTGTGTCAGACTAGGGGACACAATCCCACTATTCTCACTGGGGCGTTATTTTATTTTTATAGCATTTAAATTGGGGGATTTTGTTCTTTGAAACAACAGTGACAGGAAACATAAAATCTCCTCTTCAAAGAGAGATGTTAAAAAAAAGTGTCCATCTCCTGCTGGCCAGACGGTGACAGCTCGCTTGTTCAAAAGAATTGCAAGGCTGCCTCTTCTAACCTTTGGGATCCCTTAATACAGGTCAGTGGCTCATAACATGGGTCTGGGCTTAGTGCAATCCTATCCATTTATTTAAAAAATTACCTAGTCTCCAAGGCCCCCTTCAAGCAAAGATGTATGAAAGTATGCACCAGTTGGTGAGAGAGAAGGAGGCAGTATCAGAGCCAGGCTACAAAGCAGGTGAGCAGAGGATCGCTGTTGGAGACCAGCCTGGTGGCAAAGCGGGGGATCTGTGGAAGGCCAGGTCAAGGACTTTGGCACCCAGAGGATCTGGCCAACTAGGCCAAATGGACACAGCAGGCATTGGCCCCATGCTTTAATCTTAAGACAAGGCTGGTCTGAGTTAGAAAGGGAGACTGTGGTAGACCACTGAGGTCTATCACTCAAGAGGAGAGGCAATGAGGGTAGGGAGGCCAAAGCAGCATGAGAGGTGACAGTTTCAGTTCTTGGGGTGCCAGTCAGGATGGCCTCATGTTCTAGGGGTCACTGCCACTGCATCACTTCCCGTGTGCGGTTCTGACTCAGTCCTTTGGGACATTTATTAGGTTGTGGTCAAATGCATAGTCATTGCTGAAATATGGCTCTAATAAAACCACATTAACATCCCCAGAGCAAGCCTTGCCATGAATGAAGGGCTTCCAGTCTAAGAGGTCTTCTTCCACCATTTCCTGAGGCCTCAGATGCTTTAATGGTACCAAATCATGGTGAAGCCCATGGTTCAGGAAGGACCCCGAGTCACGTCTGCCCAGTGAAGTCACTTGTGTTCCTGGTAAACTGTCTCCTCAGCTCCTGCTCCACAGGGTACAAGCCAGCCCAGGCCCAGGATGTCAGGATTTAACCACTAGGGTTAGGGAGAGGTCAGGAGGTGCTGCAAAGAGGCCCCTGGAAATGGAGGGAGAGAGACCTGGGAAGAAGGAAGGCTCAGAATTCACACAGTACAATAGAGAATCTCGAGCAGACTCCCTGTTGAGCCTGGAGCTCAATGTGGGGCTTGATCTCACAACCCTGAGATCATGACCTGAGCCAAAATCAAGAGTCAGGTGCTTAACTGACTGAGCCACCAAGGCATCCCATTACTTTAGTTAGATTTTATGATCAATTTGGCTAAAGAAGGATCCAGCGTGAAGAGGACTGCGATACGATTACAGGGCACACAACTCATCTTTTTTTTTTCTTCCATAAAATCTTTCAAATGCAGTGTTAGCTTAATATGCTTTTTGGCATTTGACTTTCTTTTAGTCTAACTACAATTTGCATTCACATTCTCAGGTTTTGACATCATTTGTCATTAATCCAGACTTTCATTTACATCATTTTGGCCTCGTAATTTGTCCTCTCAAATCACTCCAACAGCAGTGAAACAACTTGAAGCAATTACAAAGGTAAGAGGATAAAAATGTAATAAAACCTAATTCGTGGACCATACTTGTTTAGTGTCAGATTGCAGAGCAAAGGTGCTTCATCTTCCAATCATTAAAGGATCCAATTTCAATTTTTACTCAAAGCACATGAATAATTACATTTCGGTTTGATTAGGAGAAGATGAACTTGATGAATATTTGTATAGCTGAAATTAAAATAGTAAATATATGTAGTCATAGAAGGACGTGTATCATTAGGATTGCAATATAAGCTTTCTTTGATATAATTTTGCTTCTACTAATGATACTAATCACTACAATCCACTGAGTATTTATTTGTTGCTGAGTGCTTTACTTTGTATTACCTAAATTCTTCCAACAATCCACGAGGTAGATAGATAATAATTCATTATTATCCCCATCTTATATATTGGAAAAGAGAAACAATTCAAAGAGCTAGAGACCCAGCTTTGACTCAGAGCCTCATCTCTATTGCCCATTCTACTATTCTGTCTTGTGAGATGTATATGTAGGATAAAAAATAACATACATGAGCAGGACAAAGTAAGACATCAGGTATTTGAAACTTAAAGTAGAAAAGAACTACCTTATTTTTAAAACTGGTTTGCTGAGTGTTGTTTGTGGATTAGTCATATTCTGCATTGGGGGCTGTTGCTTTTTATACTGCTTAACTGTACCCTGACCCATTAGATTTTATGAACAACTTAATTGCAAAATGATGACCGCAGGGAACCCCCTGGGAAATGTTGAAAGTCTAACTCATTCACGTTCACCCTCCTGA